GGGAACCTGTACTATCTTTCAGGCCAATGACCGTCTTAACTGCTATGCCTTGCTTACAGTTCTGGTAAGGATCAGGTGAGTGATATTTCCCATAATCCCTCTCCGGAACCAAGGAGGCATTTTATCAAAGGCTGCCTTGAAACCACCTTTGCAACCAAACCTCGCCACTGCTGAAGGCCCCTGCACTTCCTATATCTCTCCCAATAAAGGTCCAGGCCTTCAGGTTTTAGAAACGATAAACCATTATTCATAACTGCTGACTGGGCAGTTATGAATATGGTTTATCTTTTCTAAAACCTGAAGGCCTGGACCTTTATCATTTCGTAGGGGAATCTCCACTGCACAGACAACCATCCCACTTAGCATACCTTATACTAAACCTCCTCTCAACACTTTCCTCTTTTGACCTTGCTACTACAGAAGAGGTCACAAAGGTTTTCTCAGAAGCCCGTCTCACCTCCTGTCCCCTCACAACTACTGCGGTCACCCTCTTCTTCTATCCTATGCTCCCTCACTCACATCTTCAGTCTCTCCCTCTCTAACGGTGCCTTCCCTTCCCCTCAAAAGCATGCACACATCACTCCTATACATAAAAAACCCTCCCTGGACCCCACCAACCTGAACAACTTAAGACCCATCTCCCTGCTGCCATTTACCTGCCATTTTATCAAAGGCTGCCTTGAAACCACCTTTGCCACCAAACCTCACCACTACTGAAGGCCCCTGCACTTCCTATATCTCTCCCAATAAAGGTTCAGGCCTTCAGGTTTTAGAAAGGATAAACCATATTCATAACTGCCGACTGGGCAGATCAGCGCAAATACCTCACAGGCTTTAAACCCCATCTGCAGAATCAACTCAGCCACCCTCCCCCTTACTGGTGGGTTTCCTTCCCCCTCCCACCTCAACTGTACCACATTCTTTCTCCTGACCCCCCACCAACCATCCCACCTCCCCAAATTGTGACTATTAGGATTCCCAACACTCCCTCCACCCCCCCTTGGTGCGACTCCCCAAAACAGAGGCTCCCCACATTCCTCCCAGCAGCAGAAACATTTGTGTGTTTGGGAGCATCTGGTGCAACTCTAGCAGATACCGATTGTACAGATTCTGGATTGGATTGTGAATGCCCTCTCTGCTGAGCAGGGGGAGAAATGTCATTTTTACTCTTACCAGCAACGTTAACCCTTTCACCACCACCCACCATCAACACATCCATTGCTTTAGCAGTCTCAACAGTCAGAGTACACAGAAATGTCCGCACTCACTGCTACAACAATAGAAACTTCAGCTCCAGCTGTCATCTCTTCCACATCAGAACTTTCCACTTAGGAACATGCTTGCTGTTTAGACACGGCAACAGGTAAACCATCACTGACACAGGAGACATCCATGTTTGCTTTCCACATGGTGCAATGTGCTGCTCCCCTTCCCCACCAGCATCAATCAGCTCTTGAACACATGGGAGCTCAGGTGAAACAAACCCTCTGCAGGTGGCAGCCATCTTACCTGTAGAGGGACTACTAGTCTCAGCAGGAAAAGCAGTAGCAACATCCATCTCTGGGGTGCTTGGTGCAGGTTCATCCACATTCCTGATGGTTTGCAGACCTCTCTGCCAGGGATTTTTCCCTCCAAGTTGGCTGAGGATTCCTCCACAGCAGATTGTTTGCAGAGCTCCTTCTTATCAGCAGTACTCACCACAGCCAGTGGGGCAGCCATGTTGGAAGCAGCCATGTTGGTGTATTGAGATATCTCCACCAGTACTGGCTTTGCCAGTCTGTACCTCTTCTGTCCATCCTGAGGGACTTCTGAAGGGTCATCAGAAAAGACAAACCTGTCTGCCCTCAGGGGTGACAACATCTGCTGGATGAAGGTCAGGGTGCCACGTTCACTCTCTCAACCCCCTGGCTGGTTGCTACTGACAACTCCTCAGCCTGACATGGGGGGAGAGCCGCTGAGGTAGATGGAGCCGGGTCATCCATTACCTGAGGCTGCTGATCCACAGAACTCGTTGATGTCTGGCTGACAAATCTCCTCTCATTGTCAAACTTTTCTGCAAATGTTCCACTTCTGGTTTTCAACTTTTCAAGTAATAAAGATTGTCTCTTTACCTTCTCCTCCATGTGCTGTAGCTCTGGTTTCATGGCCAATCTGTTTTTACTCCAGGCCTGGCAGTATTTGGCTCTGAAGGATTTATGATCAGCCTTCAAAACTTTAAGTTTTTCCTCAGCTCTTCCGATATCCAAAAATCGATCTATAATCTTCTGTCTGAAGACATCCACATCCTCACCAGAGCCTGAACCCACAGTCAGGTCCTTCACGTCCTCACTAGGCCCGGTGTCATCAGGGGAATCCCTCCCAGGCCTCCCCCTGGATTAGGCATGGTTCCTGGGCCAAGCTAGCAGGAAAGGCCCAGGCTTGAAAATGCTGGTTCTCAGGGAGAGCTTATTCAGTGTGTCCTCTTTCTTCTCCCACTGACCACCAATGTAAGGGGGCATTCTTCACACTGACCACCAATGTAAGCAGGCATTCTTCACACTGATCACCAATGTAAGGGGGCATTCTTCACACTGATCACCAATGTAAGGGGGCATTCTTCCCGCTGATCACCAATGTAAGGGGGCATTCTTCCCACTGATCACCAATGTAAGGGACATTCTTCCCACTGACCACCAATGTAAGGGACATTCTTTCTTTCCCACTGACCACCAATGTAAGAGGGCTTCTTCCCACTGACCACCAATGTAAGGGGAATTCTTCCCACTGACCCCCAATGTAAAGGGGCATTCTTCCCACTGATCACCAATGTAAGGGGGCATTCTTTCCACTGACCCCCAATGTAAGGGCGCATTCTTCCCACTGACCACCAATGTAAGGGGGCATTCTCCCCACTGATCACCAATGTAAGGGGGCATTCTCCCCCCACTGATCACCAATGTATGAGAGCACTACACTGACCCCCAAAGTATGGGAGCACTACACTGACCCCCAATGTATGGGAGCACTACACTGACCACCAATGTATGGGAGCACTACCGTGACCCCCAATGTATGAGAGCACTACCGTGACCCACAATGTATGGGAACACTACACTGACCCCCAATGTATGGGAGCACTACACTGACCCCCAATGTATGAGAGCACTACACTGACCCCCAATGTATGGGAGCACTACACTGACCCCCAATGTATGGGAGCACTACACTGACCACCAATGTATGGGAACACTACAGTGACCACCAATGTATGGGAGCACTACACTGACCCCCAACGTATGAGAGCACTACACTGACCCCCAATGTATGGGAGCACTACACTGACCCCCAATGTATGAGAACACTACACTGACCCCCAATGTATGGGAACACTACACTGACCCCCAATGTAGGAGAGCACTACACTGACCACCAATGTATGGGAACACTACACTGACCCCCAATGTATGGGAACACTACACTGACCCCCAATGTATGGGAACACTACACTGACCCCCAATGTATGGGAGCATTACCCTGACCCCCAATGTATGAGAGCACTACACTGACCACCAATGTAAGGGGCACTACACTGACCCCCAATGTATGGGAGCACTACACTGACCCCCAATGTATGGGAACACTACACTGACCCCCAATGTATGGGAACACTACCCTGACCCCCAATGTATGGGAGCACTACACTGACCCCCAATGTATGGGAACACTACACTGACCCCCAATGTATGGGAACACTACACTGACCCCCAATGTATGGGAGCATTACCCTGACCCCCAATGTATGAGAGCACTACACTGACCACCAATGTAAGGGGCACTACACTGACCCCCAATGTATGGGAGCACTACACTGACCACCAATGTATGGGAACACTACAGTGACCACCAATGTATGGGAGCACTACACTGACCCCCAACGTATGAGAGCACTACACTGACCCCCAATGTATGGGAGCACTACACTGACCCCCAATGTATGAGAACACTACACTGACCCCCAATGTATGGGAACACTACACTGACCCCCAATGTAGGAGAGCACTACACTGACCACCAATGTATGGGAACACTACACTGACCCCCAATGTATGGGAACACTACACTGACCCCCAATGTATGGGAACACTACACTGACCCCCAATGTATGGGAGCATTACCCTGACCCCCAATGTATGAGAGCACTACACTGACCACCAATGTAAGGGGTACTACACTGACCCCCAATGTATGGGAGCACTACACTGACCCCCAATGTATGGGAACACTACACTGACCCCCAATGTATGGGAACACTACCCTGACCCCCAATGTATGGGAGCACTACACTGACCCCCAATGTATGGGAACACACTACACTGACCCCCAATGTATGGGAACACTACACTGACCCCCAATGTATGGGAGCACTACACTGACCACCAATGTAAGGGGCACTACACTGACCCCCAATGTATGGGAACACTACACTGACCACCAGGTGAACAATACAAGACAAACATGACCCCAGCAAAAGCCATCAATTTAAAATTCTTAATGTGACAAAAGTATTTTAGTATTTAGAGAATCTTATCTGTACAGTCATGGAAGAATTCAAAAGGTCCTTCCTACAAGGAACAGTTCGAAGTAACTATATATATATATACACACAAATGGGACAGCAGAGAGCCGGGGAGTTGAGTTTCAAGAAGGCAACACAGTTTTCTCTTTAGGTTTCAAAAGTTCAAGAGGCAGCAGAAAAGGATTTAAGGGGCAAAAGCCCAAATCTTTCCAGTCCAGCGCCTGTGAGTCCGATGCGGTCTCTTCCTGCTCTGAATTCTCGGATCTGGTTGGCTTGTTCATGTTCGTGTAGGTTTTACGCAGAAGGTCACTTAAAGGCTGGGCATCCAGAGTCTGTAGCTGGTCCGGGATGCAGTGCAGGAGATGAAGGACAACTGCCGATTCTGGAAAGACAAAGGCACCTTGATATCAGATACTTGGCATACCCTACATGACCGGAAAGTCATCCAAACCTATTATTTAACCACTTCCAGTCCGGACACTTTCACCCCCTTCCTGCCCAGGCCAATTTTCAGCTTTCAGCGATATCACACTTTGAATGACAATGGCGCGGTCATGCAACACTGTACCCAAATGAATTTTTTAGCATATTTTTGAGACAGATAAAACTTTATTTTGGTGGTATTTATTCACCGCTGGGATTTTTATTTTTTTGCTGTATAAATGAAAGTCCAAACATTTTTTTAAAAAAAGTGTTTTTCTTATAAACTTTTGCAAATAAATAATCTTTCTTCATAAATCTTGACCAAAATGTATTCATCTATCTTTTTTAGTAAAAAAAAAAAAAATTAGCCCAAATTAGTTTATAACCAAAAATGATAATTTTTCTAAATTTTTGTTTACTTTTTTTTTTTAATTATTATTATTTACGGTTTTTTTTAACATACTGTCACCCTAGCAGTACAGTGTCACCATAGTACTACTTGTGGGGGGTGATGAAGATTTTTTTTTTTCTTTTTTTACACTGATTTACACCCATAAAGGCTGCAAATGCAATCATTTCTCCGCCTCTCTGGCTGCATTCCTGCAGCCATTGAGAACTACTGTGTGAGCTGTGATTGGTCACAGCTTGTCACATGGTACAAGGCTGTTGTGAATAGCCCTGTACCATGTGACCTCTGTGATCATTCACAGATTTAACACGTAGTAAGCAATGATGTCAGGAAGTGACATCATTGCTTACTACTATTCATGTGATCACTGATTGGCCAATCAGTGATCGCATGATCTGGACCTCACACAGCGGTCCCGTACAGCGATCGGTATTTGGAGGATCCGAGGGAGCGTGCACAGGCAGGGAATGCGGGGGCCGTTTATAAATGTCCACCCGCTTCGGCACTGCTCCCGTCCGGCCGTTTATGTACATGGGCTGGACGGGATGTGGTTAACCACTTGAGCCCCAGAGGATTTACCCCCCTTAATGACCAGGCCTTTTTTTGCTGTTTGGCGCTGCACTAATTCAAATGATAATTGCGCGGTCATGCAATGCTGTACCCAAACAAAATTTACGTCCTTTTTTTCACACAAATAGAGCTTTCTTTTGGTGGTATTTGATCACCTGTTCGCTTTTTATTTTTTGCGCTATAAACAAAAAAACCACAAAAATTTTGAAAAAAAAAACAATATTTTCTACTTTTAGCTATAAAACATAAATCGTAAACTCAAAGTTAGTCATAAATTTAAGCCAAAATGTATTCTGCTCCATGTTTTTGGTAAAAAAAATCCCGTGCATTAGCGGGCAAACTGGCGCTATCTAGGAGGGGCGCTAACACTATCGGAAGTCACCAGTGACACTAATACAGTGATCAGTAAAAATCTGTTCACTGTAATCAATGACACTGGTGACAGGGCAGTGAAGGGGTTAACTGGGGGGGGAGGGGGGCGATCAAGGGGTTAAAGGGTTAAATGGGATTACTGGTGTACTGGCGGGCAAACTGGCGCTATCTGGGAGGGGCGCTAACACTATCGGAAGTCGCCAGCGACACTGATACAGTGATCAGTAAAAATTGGTTCACTGATCAGTGACACTGGTGACAGGGCAGTGAAGGGGTTAACTGGAGGGGGGGGGTGATCAAGGGGTTAAACGGGATTACTGGTGTACTGGCGGGCAATCTGGCGCTATCTGGGAGGGGCGCTAACACTATCGGAAGTCGCCAGCGACACTGATACAGTGATCAGTAAAAATCGGTTCACTGATCAGTGACACTGGTGACAGGGCAGTGAATGGGTTAACTGAGGGGGGAGATTAAGGGGTTAAATGGGATTACTGGTGTACTAGCGGGCAATCTGGCGCTATCTGGGAGGGGCGCTAAAACTATCGGAAGTCGCCAGCGACACTGATACAGTGATCAGTAAAAATTGGTTCACTGATCAGTGACACTGGTGACAGGGCAGTGAAGGGGTTAACTGGGGGGGGGGGGGGGGTGATCAAGGGGTTAAACGGGATTACTGGTGTACTGGCGGGCAAAAACTGGCCCTATCTGGGAGGGGCGCTAACACTATCGGAAGTCGCCAGCGACACTGATACAGTGATCAGTAAAAATTGGTTCACTGATCAGTGACACTGGTGACAGGGCAGTGAAGGGGTTAACTGGGGGGGCGATCAAGGGGTTAAACGGGATTACTGGTGTACTGGCGGGCAAACTGGCGCTATCTGGGAGGGGCGCTAACTCTATCGGAAGTCTCCAGCGACACTGATACAGTGATCAGTAAAAATTGGTTCACTGATCAGTGACACTGGGTGACAGGGCAGTGAAGGGTTTAACTGGAGGGGGGGGGGGGCAATCAAGGGGTTAAACGGGATTACTGGTGTACTGGCGGGCAAACTGGCGCTATCTGGGAGGGGCGCTAACTCTATCGGAAGTCGCCAGCGACACTGATACAGTGATCAGTAAAAATTGGTTCACTGATCAGTGACACTGGGTGACAGGCAGTGAAGGGTTTAACTGGAGGGGGGGGGGGGGGGGGGGGGGGGGGGGGCGATCAGGGGGTTAAACGGGATTACTGGTGTACTGGCGGGCAATCTGGCGCTATCTGGGGGGGGAGCTAACTCTATCGGAAGTCGCCAGCGACACTGATACAGTGATCTGTAAAAATTGGTTCACTGATCAGTGACACTGGGTGACAGGGCAGTGAAGGGGTTAACTGGAGGGGGGGGGCGATCAAGGGGTTAAACGGGATTACTGGTGTACTGGCGGGCAATCTGGCGCTATCTGGGAGGGGCGCTAACTCTATCGGAAGTCGCCAGCGACACTGATCAGTAACACTGGTGACAGGGCAGTGAAGGGTTAACTGGAGGGGGGGGGGGGCGATCAGGGGGTTAAATGTGTCCTAGTGTGTTCTAACTGTATTGTAGTGCTTGTGTACTCACTTTTTGGATGTCTTCTTCTCTGTCTGGAACGGAATGTGTCCAGGCAGAGAAGAATGACATTATATCCTGCCCTGTGTATGTCAACACAGGACAGGATAGGACAGGGACCGATCATGTGATTTCAGCCAGAAATCACTGGCTGAAATCTAATGATTGATCCCTCCTGGATCAAATAGTGTCACCCGCGGGTCGGCGGGAGCGCGCGCGCGCGCGCCCCCTGCCGGCGAAAGTGTCGGGAGCGCGGAACCCGTTTTAAAACGTGGTTTTGCGCTCCACTGCCGCCCTGCACACGTATATACACAGTGGCAGGGCGGCAAGCGGTTAAAGAAGCAAACTGGACAAGCGGAGGAGCTAAATGCAATATAGAGACAACCCTCATTGACCTCCTGACCGCTTCTTGACAGTTGGGTTAAACAGTCGTGGACACTGGAGGTGCCACATACACCCACAATACTTCATCGAAGTACGCAGGAGTTGAGGAGTACGCCCCGTGTTTCTGTCCTGCTGCTCCCCCCACCTCTTACACTCACCAATTCCCAACTGTCAAAATGACAGCCGGGAGTTGCTGTGCAAATACAGCAGCTGTAGAAGCCATTCATGTACCAGATAGAGAGATACAAACTATCCCTAGGTTCAGATCTGAGTGGGTGGTGCCGCTGTGGATCCGCACAAAAATCCGTGCAGCCGCACCACCCGCACAGAGAAATGCAGACTCGCAGGCGGGTGCCATTAGTTCTAATGGCACGCCGCCCGCACTGGAAAACACAACTGTACTGGGGACCGAGGTTCCCGTGTGGGCTGCATTTTCCAAAGAAGTGCAGGGACTTTTTCCCTGCGTGTCAGGGGCATGGGAGCCCATTCAAATGAATGGGCTCTCATGCCCGTGCAAAATGCGGCCCGCACGGCCACATAGATATGAACCGGGGGTCAGGGCTCAAGTACACTGCAGCTGATAAACTCACATTTAGGACCAGGGGCGGACTGACCATTCGACCATTCACAATTTTATTATGGCAATTGGTCGCGGAGCGCGACACCATTTCTGATCGTAGACAAAGTGGCACATAATTGTGAAGTGGAAGGAAAATGATAAATGTTTTTTATCAACATTTTTTACAAATAAATATCTGAAAAGTGTGGTGTGTATTTTTTATTCAGCCCCCTTTACTCTGATACCCCTAACTAAAATCTAGTGGAACCGATTGCCTTCAGAAGTCACCTAATTAGTAAACAGAGTCTACCTGTGTGTAATTTAATCTCAGTGTAAATACAGCTGTTCTGTGAAGCCCTCAGAGGTTTGTTAGAGAACATTAGTGAACAAACAACATTATGAAGGCCAAGGAACACACCAGACAGGTCGGGGATAAAGTTGTGGAGAAGTTCAAAGTAGGGTTAGGTTATGAAAAAAAATTCCCAAGCTTTGAACATCTCACGGACAGGGGTGGACTGATCATTTGGGAACTCGGGCACTGCCCGAGGGCCCGGGGTTAGTAGGGTGCCCCAAGAGATGCCCCTGGTACCTTTCATTGGCTTTTTCATAGGCGAGGACACAGGGGCCCCATGATCCCCTATTGCCCGGGGGCCCCATGAGTTGTCAGTCCACCCCTGTTTAGGAGCTGTTCAGCGTTTTTTTCAGCAGCCCTTGAACCCTCCCTAATGTTTTCCTATGTGTCCATGTACACATCGTCGTTAACAGTCCTTTACAGGCAGTTAAGTTTACAGTCTTTTTTTTTTAACGCCAAAAACTTGCGTTCAGCAGATTTTATCAGCGTTTCAAACGCAAAACACATGTAAACGCAGCTAACCGCGTTTATTTGCATTTGAAAAGTATTTTTTAACTCTTCCATTTCCAGATGCTGTCCAGAGCCTTTTTTTCATCATGAAAAATGCATGCAAAGTGTTTTTTTCCCGGTACTCCAATGGACCCGGAACACCATACTTTGAGGTTTCACATGAAAGAAAATATGTCGGACACGGCTGCAATAATTTCTGCACAGAAATGAGCCGGAACATCCAAACACCACAAAAAAAAGAGACAGCTAATCTCAGCACATACTGCTCTCTCTGCTTCTACTCTCTCTATTTCTCTCAAAATGTCTGAAATAGTTCATTTTTTACTGTTTTTCGGTACATTCTGGGCATTTTGGAAGGTCTCCTGAGGTTATCTTTAAAAAAAACGCTTCTAAACGCAAACGCTCATAAACACTCATTAATGCGGTATGCAAACGCGGCTAAACAGACATTTTTTAACCTACGTTTCCAGCAGTCAGTTTCCATCATTCAGAAGTGTCCTGTGTACATGGGGCTTAACACACGTTTGCAGGCCATAAACAAATCTGCCCATTTTCACACTGTTAGTGGGTTAATTGGTTGGCTGTTTTTCAAGTTTTTTGCACATTTTTTTTATCGGTTGTGTTGGAAAATTTGCGGCCGATTTTGAAGATCGGCTGATTTTCCCGGCAATGATGGGCAAATCGGCCGATCGTTTTACCAATAAAAAGTTCACGCATGAGTCGTGACCTGCAAAATACAGAAGTTATGGGGTGAATTTTCTGATTTAGTCGGCCGATTTTTGTAATGGTTGGTGGTAACGTCGGCCAAACGAACGACCGATTTTTCTGGGTTTTTTTTTTTTTTTTTAAAAATCGGCTGATGTTCGACCCGTCTATGGCCGGCATAACACACTTGTGCCGGCCAGAGACAGGTCGAAAATTGGCTGATTTTTCAGTCGAAAAAAAAATCAGCCGATTTTCGCACTGTTAGTGGGTTAATTGGTCACCCATTTTTCGGGCATTTTGTACATTTTTTTATCGGTCATGTTGGAAAATTCGCAACCGATTTTGAAGATTGGCCGATTTTCCCAGCAATGATGGGCAAATCGGCCGATCGTTTTACCGATAAAAAGTCTGCGCATGAGCCGTGACCTGCAAGGGGCAGAAGTTATGGGGTGAACTTTATGATTTAGTCGGCCAATTTTTTTTATCGTTGGTGGTAACGTTGGCCGAACGAACGACTGATTTTTTGTTTATCGTTCGAAAAAAATTGGCCAATGTTCGACCCGTCTATGGCCTGCATTACTCTACTTCATTGCTCTACAGATCAAAGGGACATTGTTGTGTTAGGTTGGCCATAGATAAGAAAACCATTGGAAAATGTGTTTGTATTTGATAAAGATCTGACAAACCAGCTATGATAGTCCCACTATCAATACAACATTTTTCCTCCCACTCATGGACAAATTGTCGTTTGTCCACAATACAAAAAAGGTACATTTGTTGCTGATGGATTACAGGATAAACACTCGTGCTCATGTGCAGTACGATTCATTGTGTTATTCGTGAATATTATCCGTGAATCACGCTTGGAAAAACATTCACTCATACTAAAGAATTCCAACAGGACGATTTGTTTTTTTTGTCATAAATCTTTGCATTTCAAAAGTCGATATGAGCCCGCTAACATTTAGAAAGTCGAACAATAGGGCGTTTTGAACAATTTTCATCTTTTTTAGAATCAGTATTAAACCCAAAACTAAACGTGATATAGTGCATCTTTCCATTCATGAGATATGGTGGCTGCATTAGTTTTTTTTTTTTTTTTTTAGGCTTTTTTCTCTCCGTTTTCACCTGGTGATCTGGCCAGTAACAAACCTCCTGTATTATAGTGCCCCCACTCTGCATGAAGGAGCACAGGGGGCATCTTTGGACAGCAGCATGGTCAGTTTCGGGGGAGGGGAGTGTTAGGTGTATTAGCAGATTTAGAAACACTAACAAACTGAAGCCAAACTCCAGCTAATACTTTATTATTATTATTATTATTAGACAGGATTTATATATTATTATTATACAGGATTTATATATTATTATTATTATAAAGGATTTATATATTATTACTATACAGGATTTATATATTATTATTATTACAGGATTTATATATTATTATTATACAGGATTTATATATTATTATTATTATACAGGATTTATATATTATTATTATACAGGATTTATATATTATTATGATTATTCAGGATTTATATATTATTATGATTATTCAGGATTTATATATTATTATTATTATACAGGATTTATATATTATTATGAATATTATACAGGATTTATATATTATTATACAGGATTTATATATTATTATTATTATTATTATAATACAGGATTTCTATAGCGCCAGCAGTTTGCTCAGCGCTTTACAATATAATGGGAGACAATACAGTTCAATACAAGAGGGTTAGGAGGGCCCTGATCCTGGGAGCTTACAATCTAAGAGGGAGGGGCTAGTGGTACAAAAGGTAGTAACTGTGGGGGATGGACTGGTAGGAGGAATAGAAGATTCCGTTATTTGCTGAGGGCAGGACAGGCTTCCCTGAAGAGATCGGTTTTCAGAGCTCGCTTAAAAGTGGGCAGAGCAGGCCATAGTCTGATAGATTGGGGTAGAGAGTTCCAGAGGATGGAGGAGGCTCTGGAGAAGTCCTGGAGACGAGCATGGGAGGAGGAGACAAGGGAGCTAGAGAGCAGGAGGTCATGGGAGGAGCGGAGGGGACGGTATGGGCGATATTTGGAGACAAGATTGGTGATGTAATTTGTCCCCCCCCATTCACACACGGCTATGGCTATAAAGTGGAGGAGATCAGGGAGATGGAGGAACTAACTCTATCCTCTCTAAACAAACATGAAAGGTTTTCAGAGATCGCCTAAAAGTGGGCAGAGCAGGCGATAGTCTGATAGATTGGGGTAGAGAGTTCCAGAGGATGGGGGAGGCTCTGGAGAAGTCCTGGAGATGAGCATGGGAGGAGGAGACAAGGGAGCATAACTTTATAATCAGTTATAGAATACAGTTTTTTTTTTATTTTGGGATAAAGGTTTTACATAAATAAAAGCTGATCATTGTAAGCATTCCTGTCAGCGCTTAATGGTTTGCCTCATCCCTGTAGCTGCTACTTCTGCAGGAGAGCTTGTTCTTTTGAAAAACAACAGGCTTACTGGCTGGATCACCGGATGATAAAAAAAAAAAAAAGGAAAGAAAGCCTAAAAAAGAAGACGAATGCAGCCATCACATCTAAGAACTGGTAAGCTGCAGTATGTTTGCGTTTGGGTGTATTACTGCTTTAACTACCTCCCGTCCGGCCATTGTATATAAACGGCCGGACGGTGGCACTGCAGGGTCGGGTGGCTGTTTATAAATGGCCTCCCCACCCCCTGCTTGTGAAACACTCCCGGGGAGCGTGCAGCACCGCGATCCGGTGCCCCGCTGTGTCTTCCGGACACAGTGGAACACTGATCGTCATATGGGACCTCTGTACGAGGTCCCGATCATGTGATCGCTGATTGGCCAATCAGTGATCACAAGCAGAGTAGTAAGCAATGATGTCACTTCTGACATCATTGCTTACTACTTGTGAAATCTGTGAATAATTACAGAGGTCACACGGTACAGGGCTATTCACAACAGCCTTGTACCATGTGACAAGCTGTGACCAATCACAGCTCACTCAGTAGTTCTCAATGGCTGCAAGAATGCAGCCAGAGAGAAGGAGAAATGATTGCTTTTACAGCCTTTATGGGTGTAAAAGCAATCAGTGTAAAAAAAAAAAAAATCTTCATCACCCCCCACAAGTAGTACAGTGTCACCATGGTGACACTGTACTGCTAGGGTGACAGTATGTAAAAAAAACAAAAAACCATAAATAATAATATAAAAAAATATAAAATAAATAAAAATGTTTAAAGATTATAATTTTTTGTTATAAACTAATTTGGGTTATTTTTTTTTTACTAAAAAGATAACAGATTTTTTCAAAAATTTTGGACATTTTCATTTACATAGCAAAAAAAAAAATAAAAATCCCAGTGGTGAATAAATACCACCAAAATAAAGCTTTATCTTTTTAAAAAAAATGCTAAAAAATTCATATGGGTACAGTGTTGCATGACCGCGCAATTGTCATTCAAAGTGTGATAGCGCTGAAAGCTCAAAATTGGCCTGGGCAGGAATGGGGTGAAAGTGTCCGGACTGGAAGGGGGTGAAAGTGTCCGGACTGGAAGGGGTTAAAGCACCCTGGCAATTTAAAAAAGATGTGTTCCTATTCAGCAACGTATTAATCCTTAGTGTACCCTAATCAGCCCTAATTAACTCCTTCTCCCCTATTAGTTTCCTGATTATTATTTTTTTTTAATTTTCTAACCAATAATATTTAAACTTGTTTAATGTATTTATTTATTTTTTTAATTTTTTATTTTTTTTTTTTTAAAGGGCAAAAAAAAAAGACTTTCACTTGTAAAGAACTTTGCAACACTTTGTATCAGAATGATAAATTTAATGTCATTTTAAACTGGACAAATGATGAAATTACAATGTATATGTTTTATTCAGCAGTGACAATTTTTTTAAGCTGACAGATCAAATCAGAACAAAAGTACATTTTTGTTTTTATTTTTGTTACGATTTGTCTCTGGACAATATACCATATTTTTTGTTCCTCTTATGCAACGAATATGGAACGGCCAGTCCGGTATTCCCGCCACCGCCATGTTAGAATACCGGGCTGGCTGCTCAGAATTGTGCCGAACCTGTTCCTCGGTCCTCCGTGGACATGGAAGCGGGTACCTGTCAAATTCGGGTGCCCACTTCCCCCCTTCCGCTTCTCAGAAGTCTGTAGTCTCTGGTCATCTCCTGTACTGTGTCCGCAGTCTCTGGTCATCTCCTGTACTGTGTCCGCAGTCTCTGGTCATCCCCTGTACTGTGTCCGCAGTCTCTGGTCATCTCCTGTACTGTGTCCGCAGTCTCTGGTCATCTCCTGTACTGTGTCCGCAGTCTCTGGTCATCCCCTGTACTGTGTCCGCAGTCTCTGGTCATCTCCTGTACTGTGTCCGCAGTCTCTGGTCATCTCCTGTACTGTGTCCGCAGTCTCTGGTCATCTCCTGTACTGTGTCCGCAGTCTCTGGTCATCTCCTGTACTGTGTCCGCAGTCTCCGGTCATCTCCTGTACTGTGTCCGCAGTCTCCGGTCATCTCCTGTACTGTGTCCGCAGTCTCCGGTCATCTCCTGTACTGTGTCCGCAGTCTCCGGTCATCTCCTGTACTGTGTCCGCAGTCTCCGGTCATCTCCTGTACTATGTCCGCAGTCTCTGGTCATCTCCTGTACTGTGTCTGCAGTCTCTGGTCATCTCCTGTACTGTGTCCGCAGTCTCTGGTCATCTCCTGTACTGTGTCCGCAGTCTCCGGTCATCTCCTGTACTGTGTCCGCAGTCTCCGGTCATCTCCTGTACTGTGTCCGCAGTCTCCGGTCATCTCCTGTACTGTGTCCGCAGTCTCTGGTCATCTCCTGTACTGTGTCCGCAGTCTCTGGTCATCTCCTGTACTGTGTCCGCAGTCTCTGGTCATCTCCTGTACTATGTCCGCAGTCTCTGGTCATCTCCTGTACTGTGTCCGCAGTCTCTGGTCATCTCCTGTACTGTGTCCGCAGTCTCTGGTCATCTCCTGTACTATGTCCGCAGTCTCTGGTCATCTCCTGTACTGTGTCCGCAGTCTCTGGTCATCTCCTGTACTGTGTCCGCAGTCTCTGGTCATCTCCTGTACTGTGTCCGCAGTCTCTGGTCATCTCCTGTACTGTGTCCGCAGTCTCTGGTCATCTCCTGTACTGTCTGCAGTCTCTGGTCATCTCCTGTACTGTCTGCAGTCTCTGGTCATCTCCTGTACTGTCCGCAGTCTCTGGTTATCTCCTGTACTATGTCCGCAGTCTCTGGTCATCCCCTGTACTGTGTCCGCAGTCTCTGGTCATCCCCTGTACTGTGTCCGCAGTCTCTGGTTATCTCCTGTACTATGTCTGCAGTCTCTGGTCATCTCCTGTACTATGTCCGCAGTCTCTGGTTATCTCCTGTACTATGTCCGCAGTCTCTGGTCATCTCCTGTACTGTGTCCGCAGTCTCTGGTCCTCTTCTGTACTATGTCCGCAGTCTCTTGGTCATCTCCTGTACTGTGTCTGCAGTCTCTGGTCATCTCCTGTACTGTGTCTGCAGTCTCTGGTCATCTCCTGTACTGTGTCCGCAGTCTCTGGTCATCTCCTGTACTGTGTCCGCAGTCTCTGGTCATCTCCTGTACTATGTCCGCAGTCTCTGGTCATCTCCTGTACTGTGTCCGCAGTCTCTGGTCATCTCCTGTACTGTGTCCGCAGTCTCTGGTCATCTCCTGTACTGTGTCCGCAGTCTCTGGTCATCTCCTGTACTATGTCCGCAGTCTCTGGTCATCTCCTGTACTGTGTCTGCAGTCTCTGGTCATCTCCTGTACTGTGTCCGCAGTCTCTGGTCCTCTTCTGTACTATGTCCGCAGTCTCTGGTCATCTCCTGTACTATGTCCGCAGTCTCTGGTCATCCCCTGTACTATGTCTGCAGTCCTTTGCTTCAGAATATGTTTTTTCTTCTTTCCCTCCTCTAAAACCTAGGTGCGTCTTATGGAGTGAAAAATACAGTATGTGTTACTTTGTTGTCTCAAGTAAGCGTTTGCCAAATTAGCAGAAATGTAAAATTGCTCTGGTCCATGGGGGTTGTAGGGATGTAATGTGGCATTTTTAAATACCCCCTGGCCACACAACCTATTTAAAACATTTAAACTCCTCACCTATGTCAAGTACATAACGTGGGACCATCAAGCACAAAGCAGTAAAAAAAAATATGTATTGTTGTTTTGGAGAGGGTGGGTGAGGATCACAGCCTCTGCCATGTTTTTATTGAAGTCTGTACACCTACGGATGAGAGATTTCCCCCGTGTCCTCTCATGGCAGAATAGTTTAGGAAACGTCTCTAACGGGTACACACGCAAATCATAAAATCTTTTTAGCAGAGCTGAAAAGGGTTCCAGCTTCTGAAAAGGGTTCTATGGCTGCCTGTGCCTTCATGTCCTGGTGACACCCATACCACCCCCAGTTTCTTATATGGGTGTCACAAGAACAGGAAGCGAGGGATAATCTCCAAAGTGGAGTCACAGACAACCTAAAAACCTTACAGAAATCTGAACTGTTCTCCACTATTGTACTTTAAGCTCCTATACATACCATATTCAGACAGCTTCGGAAGGGTCTCCCCTGTGGCCACCTTGGAAAGATATTTATAAATTTTCTCAAAGTCAAGTTTCTTCCACCGATCATCCTCTATATCTGCTAACTCCCACCCCTGAGGGGCCAGGGCCCTCCCCTGAGGACACTTCCTGCTGTGAGCTCTTCTTGGCAGGGCTTTTGGCACGAGAAGCACGCTTCCGGGGCTCTTTACTGGGTATGGAATGACGGAGAGTCTCTGGTTCGGTAGACGCTATCGTCAACATCTAAAAATTTCAAAGGGATGAGAAGGCAAACTAAAATATTCAGTACATGGACTAAAAGTTTCCACTTACGCAAATACTGCATTTAGTTTACTAAAGCCTAATCCTCTGGTCTCAGTACACTTTTAGCTACAGGCCCAGAAAATATTTACAGATCAGAGTTTTGGACTGACTTTTCCGATCTGTGTACGTGTTTCAGAAAATATTGGAAGCCAGTGGATAGGCATCACAGCCATTGAGCACTTGGCACTTTCAGCAAAAAGTCAGCAATGGCAGCCCACAAATATTTCTTCTATTATGGTCTGTGTACCCAATAGGAAAGTTTCCCCTCACATCCTGTCACGAGGATAACTATCCCCTGAATGGTAAGTGGGGAGAAATCTCCCTATTGGGATCACAATAGCACTATACATCGCTGATCATTTTGGGGCCACAATGGATCACTTTCTAAAGGTGAAACAAAGCAATAGGCCTATACAGTATCATTCAGTTTTTTCGATCAAAATTATACAATAATATATTATAATAGCACACTCTTTATATTATAATATAATACACACATGAAGGGTCTTCAAAGAGTTATAAACTATATTGCCAAAAGTATTGTCCCCGCCCTCCAAATCATGTGATTCAGGTGTTCCAATCCCCTCCATGGCCACAGGTGTACAAAATCATCCCCAAGGCATGCAGACTGCTTCTACAAACATTGGTGAAAGAATTGGTCGCTCTCAGGAGCTCAGTGACTCCAAGCGTGGTCCCGTGATAGGTTGTCACCTGGGCAATAAGTCCATCCGTGACATTTCCTGGCTACTAAATATTCCACGCTCAACTGTTAGTGGGATTATAACAAAGTGGAAGCAACTGGGAACAACAGCAACTCAGCCACCAAGTGGTAGGCCACGTCACATGACAGGGCGGGGTCAGCGCATGCTGAAGTGCACATTGCGCAGAAGTCGCCAACTGTCTGCAGAGTCAATAGCTAAAGACCTCCAAACTTGGTGTGGCCTTCAGATTAGCACAACAACAGTGTGTAGAGAGCTTCATGGAATGGGTTTCCATGGCCCAGCAGCTGCATCCAAGCCTTACATCAGCAAGTGCAATACAAAGCATCGGATGCCGTGGTGTAAAGCATGCCGCCACTGGACTCTAGAGCAGATAAGACATGTTCTCTCAAGTGACGAATTGTCAGAACGGTACTTGCCTGACTGAATGGTGCCACGTGTAAAGTTTTATGGAGGGAGGATTATGGTGTGGGGTTGTTTTTCAGGGTTGGGCTTGGCCCCCTAGTTCCAGTGAAGGGAACACTTAACGCGTCAGAATGCTAAGACATTTTGGATAATTTCATACTCCCAACTTTGTGGGAAGAGTTTTGGGGATGGCCCCTTCCTGTTCCAACATGACTGCACACCAGTGCACAAAGCAAGGTCCATAAAGACATGGAGGAGCCAGTTTGGGGTGGAGGAACTTGACTGGCCTGCACAGAGTCCTGACCTCAACCTGATAGAACACCTTTGGGATGAATTAGAGCGGAGACTGTGAGCCAGGCCTCCTCCCCCGACATCAGTGCCTGACCTGACAAATGTGCTTCTGGAAGAATGGTCCAACATTCCCATAGACACCCTCCTAAACCTTGTGGATGGCCTTCCCAGAAGAGTTGAAGCTGTTATAGCAGCAAAGGGTGGGGCCAACTCAATATTGAACCCTACGGACTAAGACTGAGATTGGAACACCTGAATCCAATGATTTGGAGGGGTGTCCCAATACTTTTGGCAATATAGAGTAAGTGTCTGCATATATACAGTCATGGCCGAAATTGTTGGCACCCTTGATATTTCTCCAGGAAATCATGTATTTCTCACGAAACGTATTGCATTAACACATGTTTTTGCTATACACATGTTTATTCCCTTTGTGTGTATTGGGACAAAACAAAAAAAAGGGAGGAAAGAAAGCAAATTCGACATAATGTCACACAAACCTCCAAAAATGGGCTGGACAAAAGTATTGGCACCCTTCACAACTGCGGATAAATAAGAATGTTACAAGCATGTGATGCTCCTGTAAACTCACCTGGGGCAAGTAACAGGTGTGGGCAATATAGAAATCACACCTGAAAGCAGATAAAAAGGAGAGACGTTCACTTAACCTTTGCATTGTGTGTGTCTGTCTGTGCCACACTAAGCATGGACAACAGAAAGAGGAGACGAGAACTGTCTGAGGACCTGAGAACCAAAATTGTGGCAAAATATCAACAATCTCAAGGTTACAAGTCCATCTCCAGAGAACTAGATTTGCCTTTGTCCACAGTGCGCAACATTATCAAGAAGTTTGCAACCCATGGCACTGTAGCTAATCTCCCTGGTCGTGGACGGATGAGGAAAATTGATGAAAGATTGCAACGCAGAATAGTCCGGATGGTGGATAAGCAGCCCCAAACATGTTCCAAAGACATTCAAGCTGTCCTGCAGGCTCAGGGAGCATCAGTGTCAGCGCGAACTATCCGTCGACATTTAAATGAAATGAAACGCTATGGCAGGAGACCCAGGAGGACCCCACTGCTGACACAGAGACATAAAAAAGCAAGACTACAGTTTGCCAAAATGTACTTGAGTAAGCCAAAAGCCTTTGGGGAAAACGTCTTGTGGACAGATGAGACCAAGATAGAGCTTTTCGGTAAAGCACATCATTCTACTGTTTACCGAAAACGGAATGAGGCCTACAAAGAACAAAACACAGTACCTACGGTAAAATATGGTGGAGGTTCAATGATGTGTTTTGGGGTTGTTTTGCTGCCTCTGGCACTGGGTGCCTTGACTGTGTGCAATGGCATCATGAAATCTGAGGATTACCAAAGGATTTTGGGTCGCACTGTAGGCCCAGTGTCAGAAAGCTGGGTTTGCGTCCAAGATCCTGGGTCTTCCAGCAGGACAATGACCCCAAACATACGTCAAAAAGCACTCAGAAATGGATGGCAAAGAAGCGCTGGAGAGTTCTGAAGTGGCCAGCAATGAGCCCAGATCTAAATCCCATTGAACACCTGTGGAGAGATCTTAAAATTGCTGTTGGGAAAAGGTTTGTCCTTCCAATAAGAGAGACCTGGAGCTGTTTGCAAAGGAAGAGTGGTCCAAAATTCCGGGTGTGAGAGGTGTCAGAAGCTTATTGATGGTTATAGGAAGCGACTGATTTCAGTTATGTTTTCCAAAGGGTGTGCAACCAAATATTAAGTTAAGGGTGCCAATACTTTTGTCCAGCCCATTTTTGGGGTTTTGTGTGACATTATGTCATATTTGCTTTTCTCCTCTGTTTTATATTTGTTCCAATACATACAAAGGGAATAAACATGTGGGTATAGCAAAACATGTGTTAATGCAATACTTTTTTGTGTGAAATACTTGATTTTCAGGAAAAATATCAAGGGTGCCAACAATTTCGGCCATGACTGTATATATATATATCCATACATACAGTGTATATATACACACACTTACTCTATATTGCCAAAAGTATTGGGACACCCCTCCAAATCATTGGATTCAGGTGTTCCAATCCCAGTCCTGATATATATATATATATATTATAGAGAGATACACACACTACCTCATAGAAGTGAGTCCACCCTTCACATTTGTGTCAATATTTGATTCTATCTTTTCATGTGACAACACTGAAGAAATTACACTTTGCTACAATGTGACGTAGTCAGCGTACAGCTTGTATAACATGTAAATTTGCTGTCCCCTCAAAATAACTCAACACACCAGCCATTAATGTCTAAATACACATACACACACATAAATTAATGTCTTGCATATTGCTTTGTGTCACCTTGAGAAAGGGTTTACGTCTATTAAACATTGGTGGATTATAGTTTTTATTTTTACGTTATTATATATTTTTGTTATATTCACTACCCATATTAGACAATCACCAGGCTCGCACACTATTACACAGGAGAGGGGTGGAACATGCTGAGCACTATGTAGTCAGCAACTTTCTGAAACCTGAAAATGTGCAGTAGAATCCAGATACTTGAGCTGTGGCTTCTTGGCACTTTTTTGTGGAGCCCTTGGGGCCCTAGCAGTCAACAATCTGCTTTTTCCTTCTACCCGTGGTCTATAGCAATCTCATGTAATATATCTCCAGTCTCCAAGAACTCGTATATAGCATGTTTGCAGTCTCTGACCATCTATTGTATCATGTCCATAGTCTCTGGCCATCTTTAATCACAAACCTTTAGTCTCTGGTCATTTCTTGGAGCATGCCCATAGTCTGTAGCAAGTTCACAGTCTCCTACCATCTCTTGTAGCATGTCCATATTCTATCTGACAAGCTTGTGTAGTATAGTATGCCCATAGTCTCTTATCCTCTCTTATAGCCTACCCATGGTCTTTGACCATCTCCTATAGCATGCCCACCATACTCTTGGACCATCTCTTGTAGCATGCCCATAGTCTTAGATCATCTCTTGTAACAAAGTTGTAATTCTATCTCTTAGCAAGCCCATAGTCTGTGATCATCTACTGGGGCAAGCCCATAGTCTGTGATCATCTACTGGGGCAAGCCCATAGTCTGTGATCATCTACTGGGGCAAGCCCATAGTCTGTGATCATCTACTGGGGCAAGCCCATAGTCTGTGATCATCTACTGGGGCAAGCCCATAGTCTGTGATCATCTACTGGGGCAAGCCCATAGTCTGTGATCATCTACTGGGGCAAGCCCATAGTCTGTGATCATCTACTGGGGCAAGCCCATAGTCTGTGATCATCTACTGGGGCAAGCCCATAGTCTGTGATCATCTACTGGGGCAAGCCCATAGTCTGTGATCATCTACTGGGGCAAGCCCATAGTCTGTGATCATCTACTAGGGCAAGCCCATAGTCTGTGATCATCTACTAGGGTAAGCCCATAGTCTGTGATCATCTATTGGGGCAAGCCCATAGTCTGTGATCATCTACTGGGGCAAGCCCATAGTCTGTGATCATCTACTGGGGCAAGCCCATAGTCTGTGACAGGGGTGGCTAACCTGTGGCTCTCCAGCTGTTGTGGAACTACATTTCCCATGAGGCATTGCAAAGATGGGAAGTTACTGACTTGCAGAGGCATGATGGAACTTGTAGTCCTGCAGCAGCTGGAGAGCCGCAGGTTGGCCACCCCTGGTCTGTGATCATCTACTGGGGCAAGCCCATAGTCTGTGATCATCTACTGGGGCAAGCCCATAGTCTGTGATCATCTACTGGGGCAAGCCCATAGTCTGTGATCATCTACTGGGGCAAGCCCATAGTCTGTGATCATCTACTGGGGCAAGCCCATAGTCTGTGATCATCTACTGGGGCAAGCCCATAGTCTGTGATCATCTACTGGGGCAAGCCCATAGTCTGTGATCATCTACTGGGGCAATCCCATAGTTTGTGATCATCTACTGGGGCAAGACCATAGTCTGTGATCATCTACTGGGGCAAGACCATAGTCTGTGATCATCTACTGGGGCAAGCCCATAGTCTGTGATCATCTACTGGGGCAATCCCATAGTCTGTGATCATCAACAGTGCCTTGAAAAAGTATTCATACTCCTTGAAATGTTTTCCACATTTTGTCATGTTACAACCAAAAATGTAAATGTATTTTATTGGGATTTTATGTGATTGACCAACACAAAATGGCACATAATTGTGAAGTGCAAGTAAAATGATAAATGGTTTTCAAATTTTTTTACAAATAAATATCTGAAAAGTGTGGCGTCCATTTGCATTCAGCCCCCCTTAGTCAATACTTTGTAGAACCACAACCAACACCACTCATGCTGGTTGCAACATGACAAAATGTGGGTATGAATACTTTTTCCAGGCTCTGTACTGGGGTAAGCCCATAGTCTGTGACCATCTACTGTAGTAAGCTGGTAGTCTCTATCTCATGTAGAAAACCATCTCCTACAGCAAGCCTCCTGTGATGTTTCTCCAGTCTGTGTTTCCTGAAGCATGTCACCAATCCCCAATAACTACTAGGGCCAATTGTTGTAGTAGGTCTGTAATCTCTGACCATCTCTTCTAGCAAGCCCATGGTCTTTGGGCACAGCTTTCTGTAGCATAACATTCACTCAGTATTATGTGTGGGCCACAAAGGAATGTCGGTGGCCACACTTGAGGACCACCAATGCTTTAAGAATTCCATGGCACTGTAATGGCAGGTTGGTGCAGGGAGAGAATATGGAATGTGACCACCAAGAGCTTGTGGTGCCTCCTATAAAAAGAACCTGTTACTTTCCCTACTATGGGACAGCTGGGGGGTGGTGGGATAGTTAGCAATTGTGCAACATCTTATTAATCTTTTGGCAGATAAAACAACCTCAAGTGCATATGAAGATGATATAAAAGACCCCAATCAGATTTGATTACCTGCGAGAAGGCAGCGGTCACAGCTTCTTCTGTTGGCTTGGACATTTGGCACACTAAATCCGTCCATACCTTGAAACAGTAAATATGTATGAATATTACATATCAATCAGAGAAACACATTTCTGGAGGTTGCTTATGGGGCCTCCTCCTTTTACCTCAATAGGCACTGGGGTCTCAGCCTCTTCAGCCTTCCTGTCCTGTACCCATTTCTCATAGACGGTCTGGACGGCCTCCCGGGCAGCGCGGCCACGCAACCAAGCGATATAGGAGGACACCTGAAGGAGGAAAGAGCAGCTAAATAAGGAGCGAGCCGTGTCTGGTGGTGGAGACTTCATCTAAGATGATGAAGAGTGACCCCCAATGTGGAATATATTTACCTAAGCCATCACATAGCAAGTACCTCCTGTTCACTACGTCACCTTCTTTTTCAGCCTTTCACAGGGAGTTCAGGGGAGCCAATAGAGGGGATCCATGCAAAACATGGGGGACTTTTCCCTGTGGTTCTTGCTCCCATTGCAAAATATATGGAGACATGTCGCAAGATTCAACTTCCCAATAATCAAATTTTTGTTCACAGGCAGAAGTAAAAAAGTGCTGCTGCTATTCCCACAAAACAAACCAGCCTCACTTTTCCACTTCTCCCCAAGGATGTTTTATGGCACGGGATTTCATCTACAGCCCCGGGGCATATCTATTTTCTATATATTGCCAATTTCCGTGTTCTCAGGGTGGGCTGTGGAGGTGTGTTGCCGGTCGCACTCAACTCCTGCTCCAGTTTCCTGTGGGTCCGGGTTTACCCAGGAGAAGGTGGGCCACCCGAAGACAACTGTTGACCTACTAGACACCATTTATGGTCTCTATACCGCAACGATAATTGTTTTTTCTCCAGTTTCCCTTGATGAGGACTTGTTTGTAGTTGAAACGCGTTGGAAAATCATTGGGGAAAGTTCTGTGGCACTGCAATTTTGATGCTGTTCTTTTTTTATATTTCAATATATTTATTAAGAATTTTTAGAAACAGTATACAGAAAGACAGGAGATGCAACCCACCAACATGACGAGGTGCAAAACATAAACAATAAGACAATAGATGCTGTTTTTTTTTTTAATGCACAAACTTTATTTAAATCATACTAACTAGATGACATATTGCAACGGCACATGCAAGAAGATGTATGCACTAATCTAGCTCTGTAGCTACAAACCTCTGTTTTTAACCACTTTCCGACCGGCCGTCGCAACCGTTGCATATAAACGGCCGGACGGTGGCACTGCAGGGTCGGGTGGCCGTTTATAAACGGCCTCCCCCACACCCTGCTTGTGCGCGCTCCTTGGAAGCGTGCAGCACCACGATCCGGTGCCCACTGTGTCCTCCGGACACAGTGAAACACCGATCGTCGGACGGGACCTCTGTACGAGGTCCCGATCATGTGATCACTGATTGGCCAATCAGTGATCACATGCAAAGTAGTAAGCAAGATGTCACTTGTGACATCATTGCTTACTACGTGTGAAATCTGTGAATGATCACAGAGGTCACATGGTACAGGGCTATTCACAACAGCCTTGTACCATGTGACAAGCTGTGACCAATCACAGATCACTCAGTACTTCTCAATGAGTGCAAGAATGCAGCCAGAGAGAAAGAGAAATGATTGCTTTTACATCCTATATGGGTGTAAAAGCAATCAGTGTAAAAAAAAAAAAAATCTTCATCACCCCCCACAAGTAGTACAGTGTCACCATGGTGACACTGTACTGCTAGGGTGACAGTATGTAAAAAATAAAAAAAAATAATAATATAAAAAAAATAAAAATGTAAAAAAAAATGTTTAAAAATTATAATTTTTGGTTATAAACTAATTTGGATTTTGTTTTTTTACTAAAAAGATAACGGAATACATTTTGGCTAAGATTTATGATGAAATATTATTTATTTGCATAATTTTATAAAAAAAACACTTTTTTTTCAAAATTTTTGGACTGTTCATTTACATAGCAAAAAAAAATTACAAATCCCAGTGGTGAATAAATACCACCAAAATAAAGCTTTATCTGTCTCAAAAAAAATGGTAAAAAATTCATTTGGGTACAGTGTTGCATGACTGCGCAATTGTCATTCAAAGTGTGATAGCACTGAAAGCTGAAAATTGGCCTAGGGACAGGAAGGGGGTAAAAGTGTCCGGTCTGGAAGTGGTTAATTAAGCAAATGTTTTATATGGAATTACAATAAAATTAATTTTTATTGATTTTTTTGGACTTTCTTGATATGCAGTTTGATATACTGTATATTCTATTTTTGTTGCTGCATGAAAGTCCCAGGGGAGATGTTTTTGTTGTCTTCCAATACTGTTCTAGGGAGGAAGCAGCAGGCTATTTACAAGCACACCACCCCTTCTTTTTGTATACAGAGTCATAGCATACCCACATGAAAGAAAAATATATTTGAAATATATTTTAAAAATATTCTTCCCAAATATATTGACATATATTTGAAATGCATATAAAATAGTCATTTTTCCAAAAATGTAGATTTGTGTTTGTAAAGACTTACAGAATATTTGAAATGTATTTTTAAAAATAGTTTTCATATATTTTGTAAAAAAAACGCATTTCAACATACAGTATATATTTAAATATATTTTGAAATATATTGAATTTGGCCAAAATTGTAGCACTTCAAATATATGTCAATATATTTGGGAAGAATATTTTTAAAATATATTTCAAATATTTTTTCTTGCATGTGGGTACATACAGAATAAAAACAGCCAGCATACAGGGCAAGAGAAGTGGTACTGTGTAGCACCCCTGGGTCAGATGACTTGCACTTCCGATTCTGGACACTGCTCAGGAAGAACATGAAAAGTAATTTGATACACTTCTTAACCATTTGAATACCAAGCAATTTTACACCTTCCTGCCCAGGCCAGTTTTCAGGTTTCAGCGCTCTCACACTTTGAATGACAATTGCGCGGTCACACAACATTGTACCCAAACTAAAATTTTATCATTTTCTTCACACAACTAGAGCTTTCTTTTGGTGGTATTTAATCACTGCTGGGGTTTTTATTTTTTGCTAAATTAACAAAAAAAGACCGAAAATTTTGAAAAAAAAACACATTTTTCTTTGTTTCTGTTATAAAAGTTTACAAATAAATAATTGTTCTTCATAAATTTAGGCCGAGATGTATTCTGCTACATGTCTTTGGTGAAAATAACCCAAATTAGGATGTATTATTTAGTTTGTAGGAAAGTTATAGAGTTCACAAACTATGGTATAGATCTGAATATTGATCAATCCTGAAGTACTGACAGCCAATCTAATTTCTTGAGGTCCAAGAATGTCAGAACAGTACAGATATCCCCCAAATGTCAGAACAGGACAGAGATATCCCCCAAATGTCAGGACGGTACAGATATCCCCCAAATGTCAGAACAGGACAGATATCCCCCAAATGTCAGGACGGTACAGATATCCCCCAAATGTCAGGACGGTACAGATATCCCCCAAATGTCAGAACAGGACAGATATCCCCCAAATGTCAGAACAGTACAGATATCCCCCAAATGTCAGGACGGTACAGATATCCCCCAAATGTCAGGACAGTACAGATATCCCCCAAATGTCAGGACGGTACAGATATCCCCCAAATGTCAGGACGGTACAGATATCCCCCAAATGTCAGGACAGTACAGATATCCCCCAAATGTCAGAACAGTACAGATATCCCCCAAATGTCAGGACGGTACAGATATCCCCCAAATGTCAGAACAGTACAGATATCCCCCAAATGACCTCTTTTTGCAGAGTAGACAGTCCGACGTACTTCATTAGAGGCATTGCGAGTTTTTTGAAGTTATATTTTTTGTCATAATTTTTTGGAAAATGAAAAAATGTAAAAATTTAGTTTCACTAATTTTTTTTTACATACTGTCACCAGTGCAGTACAGCGTCATCATATAACTGGCATGGCGGTGATCAGGGACACTGACTGGTGACAGTATGAAAAAAAATATATATATATTTTTTTTATTATTATTTTTTATTAATTTTTTTTCTTTTTTTTTTTAAGATTTTTTTTCATATTTCACTATGACCAAAGTAGTACAATGTTACCATAGTAACATTGTACTACTTTGGGGAAGTGATCAGTATTTTTTTTTTTTTTTTTACACAATTTGCTTATAGCAAAGAATTACTTTGCTATAAGCAAGCATTTACCTGAATGACATCGATTCATTCAGGTTTTTTTTTTTTTTTTTTTTTGTGCTTAGCTGTGATTTGGCCACAGCTAATTACATGACATGTGCATGTGACCTGCTGTGACCATTCACAGCTAGGCACTAGTATACAATGGATGGCATGAATGAAGCCATCCATTGTATAGAACTGTCATGTGACCTGCTGTGATTGGTCACAGCAGTTCATATGGAACCGGCAACGGTTCAGGTGAGCAAGGAGTACGAGGAGAGGTATGTACGCACTGAGCCTTGACCTCCAGGCTCGGTGCGTACGTACATCTCCTCGTACTAAGCTGCCGGACTAGGAAGGAGCTCACCTGAACAGACCAAGGAAGGCAGCAGCCGCCTCTGGAGCCCAGAGAGAGAGAACTACAAGTCCCATGCTGCCTTGCACGGCAGGATTTAAAGGCTCAGTACGAGCCGGAGATAATGCAGCAGGAGTCTATCCATTCACAAAGCCAATAAAAGAGAAAGTTAGATGTGCTGTTACCCACGGAGGATCCAGAGGGAACCTTGACCAGGCTGTGCATACCTTAAGAGGATCTGGCTGACCTGTTGAGACAGTTGTGTTCTCAAATGCACACTGAAATTGCGCATCTGGTGAGTGTGCAGTTTTTCTATTACCAGATACACCACCTATGAATTGGAGATAGGAGCTTGGACCAGCTACCCATAGATCTCATAAAGGATCCTCACGTTCATTATTTTGGATTTTTTCACTTCAACAGTACTATAGCCACCTTTTGAGTGGCTCTCCTCAGAATTTATCCAACTGATCACCTATTGGACTTAAGTACATAATTAGTATATAAGCACGTTTGCCACTTCATATTACATGATTTTATTTATGATCACCAACAGCACTATTGGCACTTTATTATTTATCATTGGCAATTGGTTTTGATTGATATAACACTTTATTGTTTATATTGCACTTTATTTCATATTCATATCGTATATCTCAGCGCTGCACCTACTTTTTGTTTTATTGATCTGGGAGGTTTTTTTGGTACCTTTTTGGTGCTCCAGCACCTTCACTGTAGCACTCACTTGGCCTTTCCAGATACTGACCTCTGATTGGCTCCGCCCTTGGATGGGCGGGTCAGGGACCTTTTGATCCACCTGGGCCTTAAGACCTCTCAGAAGATCCACCTTCTCCTTGCACATCCATGCCAAGCGTATTGGGGCTGTCCGGGCTGGGGCTGGGTCTGACCCCACAAAGCGCTGGGGGGCGGCACGTCTGCGCACAGGCGGCTTCATTTTTCTGGGTGGAGCCTGCCATAGAAAACATAATGTTTCATTTAATAAAGAAGAACTCCAGTTCCAATGTGGAGCCATCCCTTAACACAGAACATAAAGTGATATTAAAGGCTTACTTTAAAAAAAAAAAGTAACAAGCATGCTATACTTACCTGTTCCTTGTAATGGTTTTGCATAGAGCAGCCCCGATCCTCCTCTTCCCAGGGACACCCGGCGGAGCTCCTGGCCCCTCCCTCCTGCCGAGTGTCCCCACAGCAAGCAGCTTGCTATGGGGGCACCCAGGCAGGCTCGCTCCTGAGCCACTGCTCTGCGTTTCCATACAAAGACCCCTGACTCGGCCCCATCTCCTCTCTCTCCTGATTGGTTGTGATTGTCTCAGCCAGTAAAAAGGGAGAGTCCCTGGAGAGCCAAGGCTCTTGTGCACATCGCTGGATCACAATAGGGCTCAGGTAAGTATTGGAGGGGCTGGAGGGATGCTGCACAGAGGTTTTTTTACCTTCATGCATAGATTGTCTGAAGGTAAAAAAAAACTTTGAGCCTTTGCAACCACTTTAACCCACTGCTCTGTTCATACCTGGCAGCTGCCAGTGTACTTGTCAGCTCCCAAATGGCAGGGGCCAGTCCCAAATGGCAGGGGCCAATCCCACATGGCTGGGGTCAAAGCTGATCACACAGACACCTACAGTTGCAAGAAAAAATATGTGAACCCCTTGGGATTACGTGGAGTTTTGCATGAATTGGGCATAAAATGTGCTCTGAACGTCATCTAAGTCACAACAATAGAAGAACACAGTCTGCTGAACATAATACTACACAAACATTAGATGTTGTCATGGTTTAATTGCACATAACATGTAAACATTCACAGTGCAGGGAGGAAAAAGTATGTGAGAGGCCCTAGCTTAATGACTTCTCCCAGAGCTAATTGGAGCCAGCAGTGAGCCAACCTTGACTCCAATCAGTGTGATGATATTGGATGTGTTGCTGACAGCTGTCCTGCCCTTAAAAAACACACACCTGTTTTGGGTTTACTGGTTTCAAGAAGCACTGTCTGATGTGAACCATGCCTCGCAGAAAAGAGCTCTCAGAAGACCTACGATCAAGAATTGTTGACTTGCATGAAGCTGGAGAGGGTTACAAAAGTATCTCCAAAAGCCTTGATGTTCATGTGTCCACGGTAAGACAGACTGTCTACAAATGGAGAAAGTTTAGCACTGTTGCTACTCTCCCTAGGCGGGGTCGTCCTGTAAAAATGACTGCAAGAGCACAGCGCAGAATGCTGCATGAGGTAAAGAAGAATCCCAGAGTGTCAGCTAAAGACCTACAGAAATCTCTGGCACATGCTAACATTTTTGTTGACACATCTACAATAAGGAAAACATTAAACAAGAATGGAGTACATGGGAGGACACCACGGAGGAAGCCATTGCTATCCAAAAAGAATATTGCAGCACGTTTGAAGTTTGCAAAAGAGCACCTGGATGTTCCACAGCACTACTGGCAAAATATACTGTGGACAGATGAAACCAAGATTGAGTTGTTTGGGAAGAAACACACACTATGTGTGGAGAAAAAAAAGGCCCAGCACACCAACATCAAAACCTCATCCCCACTGTAAAACATGGCGGAGGGAGCATCATGGATTGGGGCTGCTTTGCTGCCTCAGGGCCTGGACGGATTGTTGCCATTGATGGGAAAATGAATTCCAGAGTTTATCAAGACATTTTGCAGGAAAACGTACGTCCATCTGTCCGCCAACTGAAGCTCCGCGGAGGATGGGTGATGCAACAGGACAATGACCCAAAGCATACAAGTAATTCAACAAAACAATGGCTGCAACAGCACAGAATACGCCTTCTGGAGTGGCCCAGTCAGAGTCCTGACCTCAACCCAATTGAAATGCTGTGGCATGACCTTAAGAGAGCGATTCACACCAGACATCCCAAGAATATTGCTACACTGAAAAGTTTTGTGAAGAGGAGTGGTCCAAAATGACTCCAGATCGTTGTGCAGGTCTGATCTGCAACTACAGGAAACGTTTGGTTGAGGTTATTGCTGCTAAAGAAGGGTCAACCAGTTATTAAGTCCAAAGGTTCACATACTTTTTCCTCCCTGCACTGTGAATGTTTACATGTTATGTGTACAACCTCCTCAATCCCCTACAGTCCGGCTTCCGTCCCCTACACTCCACCGAAACCGCCTTACTCAAACTCTCCAACGACCTTCTAACCGCCAAAGCTAATGGCCACTATTCAGTGCTCCTACTCCTTGACCTCTCTGTGGCCTTCGACACAGTCGACCACCCCCTCCTCCTCAAAAAACTACACTCCCTCGGCCTCAGAGATTCTGCTCTCTCCTGGCTCTCATCCTACCTGTCACAACACGCTCCTTCAGCGTTACCTATAAGGCTACCACCCCCCCTCACTCCCCCTCTCTGTTGGGGTCCCTCAAGGCTCTGTCCTCGGGCCCCTTCTCTTCTCCATCTACACCTCCTCCCTTGGCCAACTCATACACTCTCACGGCTTCAACTACCACCTCTATGCCGACGACACACAACTCTATCTCTCAACCCCCCACCTCACCACCTCAGTCTCCGCCCGAATCATGCACCTACTGAGCGACATATCAGATTGGATGTCGCTCCACTTCCTTAAACTGAACCTCTCCAACACCGAGTTTCTTGTCTTCCCCCCAGCCCGGACCCCACCCCCCATTGACTTCTCCATCACGTCCAACAACGCCACCATCAAACCCCGCCCCGCAGGCCAGAGTACTTGGTGTCATTCTGGACTCCAACCTATCCTTCCAGCCCCAAGTCAAATCTTTAACAAACTCGTGCAGACTCCACCTCCACAACATCGCCAAAATACGCATGTTCCTAACCCCAGAAACCACTAAACAGCTCATCCACTCCCTCATCATATCACGACTCGACTACTGCAACTCCCTCCTCACTGGCCTGCCTCGCCGCTGGCTATCCCCGCTTCAGTCCATCCTGAATACGGCTGCCAGACTCATTCACCTTTCCAACCGCTCCATCTCCGCCACCCCCCTCTGCCAATCCCTCCACTGGCTTCCGATTGCGCAACGGATCAAATTCAAAAGTACCGACCAACACGCACACTCCACTCCTCACAAGACCTCCTTCTCTCTAGTTCCCTGGTCTCCTCCTCCCATGCCTGCCTCCAGGACTTCTCCAGGGTGTCACCCATCCTCTGGAACTCCTTACCCCAATCCATCAGATTATCACCTACTCTGCTCTCCTTTAGGCGCACCCTGAAAACCCACCTCTTCAGGGAAGACTACCCCACCCCCTGCTAACTTGCCGACCTCCTCCACTCTTCCTACCACTCCATCCCCTACAGCTATCTCCTCCTGTACCACTATCCCCTCCCCCCTAGATTGTAAGCTTGAAAGAGCAGGGCCCTCGATCCCCTCATGTTTTACATTGTATTGGTATTGTTCTGTCACATGTTCTGTCCCCCTTTGTAATGTACAGCGATGAGCGAACTATTGGCGCTCTATAAATACTGTATAATAATAATAATGTGCAATTAAACCATGGCAACATCTAATGTTTGTGTAGTATTATGTTCAGCAGACTGTGTTCTTCTATTGTTGTGACTTAGATGACATTCAGAGCACATTTTATGCCCAATTCATGCAAAACTCCACGTAATCCCAAGGGGTTCACATACTTTTTCTTGCAACTGTAAATGGGAACTGAAGATCTATGGAGGCAAACATGGCGGCATCTTCAGCTATAAAGGATAGGAGGGTTTAGTTCCACCAGTGAACCTGTAATGTACAGCGATGAGCTAGATTATT